TCTCAGTGGTCACGGCCCAATTTCTATCCTCCTCCTCCTCATTGTCCCAGCTCTGGATTCTTGTGTTCATAACCAAGCTAGGGAGGATGCCGGTGCCCTTACGAGCTCAGCATTTGTGGCTTACCCCCGGAGCTGCTCTATCTGGGCTTCCATGATGTGCATATCAGAGGCAAGGGGCTGGGGTGGGAGAGACCCAACCATGTGGGTGCAGACATCACTCCGTACACGCTGGAGCAGAGAATGAGCCAGAGAGGACACCTGCTAGGAAGAGGTGGCTTGATTCAGTCAGGTTGTCCCCCAAGAGCCCAGGATGGTGAGTTTAGGCATTTTCCTAGAAGTTATCAGGTCCCATGACCAGGATTTCAGTCTCACCCCCTTAAACAGTAAGAACATTGAGGTTGAGAGCCAGCACATGGTGTAATGGTTATGTTACTGGACTCCCATGTAGTTGACTATGGTTCGAGTCCCAGATGCCAGGTGCATGTGCACACGTACCCAAAATCCCAAGAGGAGAATGGGGGAGAAGGGATTTTGGCAAGGCCATCTCCTCTGACAAGCGATTTCTCACTTTCTGTCTATCTATCTGGTGGGTGCATAGCCCTATAGCAGAAGAATCTCTCTCTAAAAAAAAATAAATTGGGTCTGCGGCCAGCAGGTGGTGTGATAGCTAAGGCACTGGACTCTGATAAGGGCGAGCATGGTTCAAGTCCCAGACCTGACAGCTTGCTTTCTCACTTCCCCCCCTCTCTCTTTCTTTTCCTTTTTTTCTCTCTCTCTCTTTCTCTATCTCTCTCTGGAGAGCACACGTGCCCTATAGCAAATTTTAAAATAATAATAATACATTTTGAAATGAAATAAATCATTCTTTTTTTCTTTTGAGTAGAGCTTTTTGCCTTAGAGCCATGCACTTGTTGAGGAGAGACAGAAAGTGAGAAATCATTCCAAAGGGGGGATACGCACACCACAATCCCTTCTCCTCCATTCTCCTTCCGAGATGCACACACATGCAGCTGGTGTGATTATATTTTTAAGAATTATTTTATTTAGCTTTATTTATTTATTTATTTCAATTTGACCAGAGAGGGGCAGAGCAAGAGAGCGAGCGAGCGAGAGAGAGAGAGAGAGAGAGAGAGCAAAAGTGAGAAAGCAAGTTGCCAGGTCTGGGACTCAAACTGCGGTCAGCCATGTGGGAGTCCAGAGACGTAAACGCTACATCATCTGCTGTCCCCTTAAATAAATAATTCTTTATTGAAAATATTTATTGGGCCAGCAGGTGGGTTGGTGGTTAAGGGCGCTGGATTCCCACATGGCCAATTGTGGTTCGAGTCCCGGACCTGGCTACTTTCCCTCCCTCCTTCTCTCTCTCTCTCTGTCCCTCTCTGATCAAAATAAAATAAATAACTAAACACATAAATAATGATAAAAATATTTATTTACATATTTCTTTCCTTTTTTTTTTTTTTTTAATTTGAAAGGAGGGAGGGAGGCAAGCCACCAGGTTGGGAACTCAAACCACAGTTGGCCATGTGGGAATCCAGTGTCTTTAATCACCATGCTACCTGCTGGCCCCTTAAATAAGGTACGTGTGCCCACCCGCCGGAAAGACAGAGACAGAAAGCGAGAAATCACCCCCCGGGGGGATGGCCACGCCGCAATCCTTTCTCCTCCATTCTCCTCTCGGGATCTTGGGCACACACGCACACGCGCCCGGCATGAGTTTAAGCCACCCGGTCTGGGACTTGAACCACCGATGACTACATGGGAGTCCAGAGACATAGCCATTACGCTAACTGCTGGTCCCAGGAATGTTACTTCTCACACATACCTGAGTCCGCCAGGGCTCCCCGTCTGCCCCAGAGCTGCTGGATCCACTGCCGGAACCACCCGCATGGCTGTGGGAGGGAGGTGGGAGAGACTCCAGCCTCAGCAGGGAATCTTGCAACTCCTGAACCTGGAAAAGTGGACAGTGGACAATGTCAGGCCTGGGGCTCTAACCATCAGCCAGCCCTCCCCGAGGCTGCAGCTGGAAGGCAGAAGCCCCGCATACACACCTGCCCAGTTCCTCACTCTGCAACCTCGGGCTTGTTCTTATCAAGACTCTTCTTGGGGAGGGGAGAATAGCAGGTGGCATGGTGGTTAAAGATGCTGGACACTCCCACATGGCTGACCAAGGTTCGATTCCTGGACCTGGTGGCTTGCTTTCTCACTTTCTCTCTCTCTCTCTCTCTCTCTGGTCAAATTAGCATAAATGAATGAGGACCAGAAGTCGGCGTAATGGCTATGTTGCTGGACTCCCATGCAGTTGACTGCGGTTCGAGTCCCGGACCCGGTGGCTTAAACTCATGCCGGGCGTGTGTGCGTGCGTGCCCAAGATCCCGAGAGGAGAATGGAGGAGAAGGGATTGCAGCAGACCATCCCTCCGGAGTGTGACGACTTCTTTCTTCTTTTTCTCCTTCTCCTTCTTCTTTAAGAAGTATTTATTTATTTAATTCCATTTCAGAAAGCGAGAAATCACCCCCCAGGGGGGATTGGCCACGCCGCAATCCCTTCTCCTCCATTCTCCTCTCGGGATCTTGGGCACGCACGCACACACGCCCGGCATGAGTTTCAAGCCACTGAGTCCGGGACGCGAACCATGGTCAACTACATGGGAATCCAGTGACATAGCCATTACGCTAACTGCTGGTCCCATAATTCCATTTGCTCTTATTATTATTTTTAAATTTTTGACCAGACAGAGAGAGAAAGGAAAAGTGAGAAAGCAAGACACCAGATCTGGGACTCGAACTGTCGTCAGCCATGTGGGACTTCAACATCTTTAATCACCATGTCACCTGCCAGTCCCCGACCTCGGGTGGGGGTGATTTCTCGCTTTGGATCTCACTGTCTCTCACTGTCTCTCTCTGACGAGTGCACATGCTCTAAGGTAAAAAAACAAGCAAGCAAACAAAAAAAAAACTAAAAAAAAAAATAATATTGTCAGAGCGTATGTATGCTCACCAGAGACAGAGAGAAAGAGAGAAGAGGAAGAGGGAGAAAGCATCCCCCGTTGGGCGTGGGCACGCCACAGTCCCTTCTCCATTCCTCCATCCTGTCGAGATTTGGGGCACGCACATATGGTGTGTTTTTCGAGCCTGGGAGTCCAGGACGCAAACTATGGTTGACCATGTCGATTCCACCTCCCTGAGCCACTAGGTTACAAATGCATCTTTTTCCACATATACTAGCATGGCCCCTTGTCACCTCCCCTGGTCCTCATTCAAGTGTCTGGTCGCCTTAACTAAAACTACAAGGGATTATTGTCTGGCTTGTTTTGAGCTTGGCGGTCAATGATGTGTAAGGGGGAGGCAGAGACAGTGCAGTGGTTAAGGCGCTGGACTGCCACATGGCTGACCGTGGTTCAAGTCCCGGATCTTCCTTTCTCATTTTCTTTCTCTCTCTGATCAAATTGGAAAATAATAATAATAATGAATTCTGTTTTTAAATTGAACTTGATTTATTTATTATTTTTCATTTGATCAGAGAGGGACCGAGTGAAAGAGTAAGAGAGAGGGATTGTGAAAAAGCAAGCCACCAGGTCCAGGACTCGAACCGTGATTGGCCATGTGGGAATCTAGCTCCCTCAACTACCACACCACCTGCTGGCCCCTAAAATAATTCTTTAAAAATTAAAAAACAAACAAACAAACAAAAAACCCAGGATGAGAATGGAGAAGGGTTTATGGCATAGCCATCACCCCCTCATGGGGTGATTTCTTGCTTTCTGTCTCTCTGTCTCTCTGTCTCTCTGGCAAGGTAACCTGGCCTACAGCGAAATCTCTCTCTCTCAAAATGAGAAGAGTCGTCAAATGAACAAATGGCCGAATACTGCCTCTGTTGATCTTGAGCCCTCGGTCAGACGGGGAGCCCTGAGAGGCTCGGGGTTGCTCCACTCACCTGCTCCTGCAGCGCCTCCTTCTCAGCCCTGATGGCCTGCAGGGAGGCCTGGGTGCGAAGCAGCTCATCCTCCCGGCTGTCCAGGGCCAGTCGTAACCAGGCGTTCTTCTCTGCCAAGCGGGCGACCTCCCTCTCGCAGCCCCCGGCCCCCTCCTGCTCCCTGGGGGACCCTGGTCCCCCTTCACGTCTGCAGTCAGCCTCGTCCAGCGGCCCAGGACTGCTTGGGGGCCGCTGATGGCGCCAGGCCAGAGCAGCTGCCTCGAGGGAGCTGAGAGCGTGCTGGAGGGTCTGAAACACATCGGGGGCCCCATTTCCCGGGGGGACTGTCTCCCCATCCTGTAGGGGAGCCTGGTGGGCTTCTGCAGGCTCGGGAGTCTCCTGAGGCGCTGACGCCAGTGTCTCGCTGGGGTCTCCATCAGCCTCCTTGGTGGGCCTGTGGACACAACCCGGGGAGCTGAGCCACCCAGTGCTGGGAGGGGACTTTTGGGGGTGCAAGCAGGGGGTTGGTGAGAGCTGGGCGTTCTAGGGCTGAAACTGGGAGACTGGTAAGCCCAGAGGAGGCTGGACTGCGGGCACCTGGGGCTGGAGAAGGAGACTGAAGATAAGCTAGTGTTGGGACCAGCAGTTAGCGTAAGGGTTATGTCTCTGAACTCCCATGTAGTCGACCACGGTTCGAGTCCCGGACCTGGGGGCTTAAACTCACGCCGGGCGCATGCACGTGCGTGCCCAAGATCCTGAGAGGAGAATGGAGGAGAGGGGACTGCACCTCCCAGGCAGGGTGATTTCTCGCTTTCTGTCTCTCTGTCTCTCTGTCTCTCTCTGTCTTTCTGGCCAGTGCATGCACCGTGTATGCGTGCGTGCCCAAGATCCCAGAAGGAGAAGGAAGGAGAAGTGACCCCAACTTGGGCATCCCCTCTGGGGGCTGATTTCTCACTTTCCCTCTTTCTGTCTCTGTCTCTCTCTGGGGAGCACATGCACCCTAAGGCAGAAACTCTTACAAAAGAAAGGAAGAAAGTCAGGTTGAGGAGGGCAATAGGGAGCTATGGCAGGTGTGAGAGCAGGGAAGGGAAGGGCAGTTCTGGGCGTGGTGGGGATGACGCTTTAGCTGGAGTGCAGGGCACAGACCAAGCGGGTCTTACCTGTCCTCTAAGTCCTGGCCACCGACCTCCGCCATGGGGTGTGGGCTGAAGCTCCCTCGAGCTGAGAGAGGGCTGGCTTTGGCGCTTCCGCTGGTTACCTCCATCTCCTCTGAGGTCTCTGCCACGGTGTCCAGAACATCCTGCAAAGGACCCCGAGGGGGAACCAGCAGTTAGCGTCACGGCTATGTCGCTGGACTCCCACGTAGTCAACCGCGGTTCACGTCCCAGACCCGGTGGCTTAAACTCACGCCGGGCACGTGTGCATGCATGCCCAAGATCTCGAGAGGAGAATGGAGGAGAAGGGATTGCGGCGTGACCATCCCCCCTGGGGGGTGATTTCTCGCTTTCTGTCTCTCTGTTTCTGTCTCTCTGTCTGGCGCGCGCGCACGTGCCCTAAAGCAAAAACCTCTCCAAAAAAAGAAAAAGAAAAAAAAGAGAAACGGGGTGTGGTGGGGAATGGGAACACTTACAGATGGAAGGGGTCTCCCTCGCCGGCTTCGGGGCCGTGAGGCCCGGGTGCTCATGACTGTCCAGAAATTAGGGTCTCTCTGAATCTGTTTCCTCTCTCATCCCCCTAAATCCACCGTCGGCTCCGACTTTCGTGGTCCTGGGCAAAAGACAACCTCAAGGAACTGTCCCCTGTAAAATGGGACGTCAGTCGCCCCCGAAAAGGGATTTTGAATGATCAATGCGGATTTCGCTTATTCGAAAGCCCCCTTGGGAGGCATCTCGGTCCCTCTTGAGGTTGCCTTGACGTCTCCCTCCTCCTCTGCTTCCTTCGTTTTACTGCTTCTGTGTTCCCCTTCCTCTGCTCTCTGGGGACCCCAAGAGACTCCCCTCTTCTCCCCAGCGCCCTCCTGAATTAGAGACACCCCCCAATCCTGGGGTTCTGTTGTTTTGGCCTCCTCTAACTCGCTCGTTCTCTAGGGGACCCTCGGTCACAGGCCTGGGTCCTTGGACGCTCTCGGGGTCACTCTGGCCACTGCCCGCTCAGAGCTGGGCTGGACTGGCCAAGGCTGGCCTGGGAGGGGCCAGGAAACAGGAAGCCCCCTCCCCGGTCACGTGAGGTATTATTATTGTGTTTATTTCCTCCTGGAGGGCAGCGGCTTCCTCCAGTCCCCCGGGGACGCGTGTTTGATTCCTGAGAGGTGGGCCTTCCTTGTGTCAGCCTCCAAGCTCCTGGCTCCTGTACCTCAGCCTGACTGTGGCTTGGATTGTTTTTTATTTTTGTATTTTTTTTTTTAAGAATTATTTTATTTAGGGGGCCGCAGGGGCCATGGTGGTTAAGGGCGCTGGGCTCCCAGATGGTTGACTACAGTTCAAGTCCTGGACATGGTGGCTTGATTTCTTGCTTCCCCCTGCCCCGACTGTCTCTCTCTGGTCAAATTAAAATAAATAAATTTAAATAAAAAATAAATCGGGAACCAGCAGTTAGCGTAATGGCTATGTCACTGGACTCCCACGTAGTCAACCGCGGTTCGTGTCCCGGACCCGG